ATGTCTTTAAATGAATGCAAATGTACATTTTGTAGTATAGTCTTCAAACAATAGATGATAGATGACTATAATACTGGGTGACTGCCAAGCCAGCTTCTCAATTTTCCAAGGGAGGGGCCTCATCCATCAGGAACACGTTACATAACAATGAAAGCGTGTGCTCCATTTATATCTAATATAATACATGTATATGTTTGTGAATACACACACACACATGTAGGTACATTATATCCAGTCAACAACATGTCAGTGCGGCACTGGGATCTTGAGAGACTTTGGTATTTCAGTCTGTTCTTATTTATTTATATTTTCCCCTCATCATATTAGCCAACATAACAAACTATAGGCCCTATATACATATAAAAAATGAATCCTGTTTTGAGCCTGAGAAAAGACCTAGAACTAGAAATCGACTGTCAATAACCAGTCTGGGAGTCATGATTCACACAATAAACGTGAAGACGAAAACCATTGCTGCAACTCAAAGTAGAGTAATAGTAGTAATAAAAACTAGAATGGCACAAGTACACCTACTCAGTGTGAGAGGTGTAAGAACTGGGGGGGAAGATGCAGTGACACTGAAAATCTGCCAATCTTGAACAGAAAGCTAAAATGTATATAAATTACAATCACCCATCCTATGAAACGCGAACACTTAAGTTAAATAACAAGGCATGACGGATCCCGATGCCACACAAGACCTGCCCCAACGCGCGCTTTGCAAAGAGCTCTAAAGTATTATCAAAAGGCTAAAAATTTGCTTTCAAGTTCAGTTTTTATCCTCCAGCGTTGCCTTCAAGTTCAGCCCCCCCCCCCCAACCAAATCCCCTTCCACGAGTGTATCTTATAAGGCAGTCCTATACTTCACAGCGCTCAGATCGCCGGTACCCACAGGTTCATTGACCAGTCACGAGGGCGAACCTGACAAGACGTTTGTCCAAGTTCTTTTTCTTTTTTTCCCCACAAGCGAGAGCAGAGGGCAATTTTTAATATTAATTTATTTTCAGGGCGACACAGCGTTCATAATGCACAACCTGCACGCTACAAATGTTGCGTTATCTATCAGATTATTACCGGAAAATTTCTAGCTGGTAACGAAAGCGAAAGTAAATCTTGATTCTTCCGGATCACACAAACACTTCCGCCACAGCGGTTCAATTACGTTTCCTCTTCAGGATTCATCAACCATACAGTCTAGATAGCTACACATTACACAGGCCCTATCCTTTCCCGACTTACCAACCCATCACAAAATTCCTGACTTTTTCCCGACCTAGCTCAAAATTCCCGACTTTTCCCCGATTTCCCGACCTGGTGAGGACCCTGTTTATTTTCCCGAACGTTCGGAGAAATAGTGCCGGCCTTTTTCTTATTCAGACTCGAGTCCGAATATGAAATTTTTTTTATTCGGACTCGAGTCCGAATATGAAAAAATGTTATTCGGACTCGAGTCCGAATAATGACGGCCTTTAGAATAAGTACGGCTAGACTGCCAGCACGGCTAGCCTCTTCCTTTAGAGAAACAATCCGGATCGAAACGGTCGATCATTTGCAGTGCATCGTTGAATTGAACTTGCTTTTTTGTATCAAAATTGACGCCTAGAACTACTCTCAGTGTTCTTCTCATTCTCAGTTTACGTAGTGTACAGCAGCAGAATCAATCTGGGCGGAAGAAGGGTGCTGCACAATCACAGACAACCGAACTGAACAGTTCTTCAAGTTGCAAAGAAAATAATCCGAGTCGTCAGACTGCCGTCGTGTTGCCACCTGACTGACAAAGTGGGAATCCCTCAATGACATCAAGCAAGATGACTGTTGACTGTTGTCAACTGCTGTTAAACAAAAGTAACAAATATCAGCCAATGAGGCCCAATAATGGCATTTAGATTCTAGATTCTATTCTAGATCTAGATCTAGATTTTCTAGATCTAGATCTAGATATCGTTATTTGGTCTGCTTCAGTGCGCAACCCTATCTGGCATGTTCCTGGGCATTAAGAAGCAGCCTGCGATAGTATTTATCGATTCTAGTATACATTCTACGATACATTAGAGCTGGTTTAACTAGATGGGCTAAATAATCGACTACTTAAGCGCTTAGTAAATTCACTGATACTGGTTACGAAAACCATTAATATGAATGGGCAAAACTTTCCGACACCGTAGAATCACGTGTGTTGACGGGAACCTCCAAAACGAAAGTGAAATAAGCTGCATTTTGCGCATGCTCACAGAAAGTGACCTCGTTTTCGCTGTTCTTATCCAAAACAAAGCAGGAGACCGGGGGTTGCGCACCAAAACAGATGCGCAGTGACCTGGTTAGACTCTAGATGTCGTTCTTTAGCTAGATCTAGATCTATATCTAGATTCTAGATTTAGATCTAAATCTAGATCTAGAATCTAGATATCTATTGGACCATCCGTTTGTGGTCGAAATAAGTGATGATCTTCTCTCATCAATGACAAAACTGTCCAATGTTTGTTCAAGTCGTTCACCATGCCATTACACTTTGAAACTGTCACTGCCACTGACTCATTGTTCAGTGAAAGTGGCTATTCTCACCCGCCCGGAAGTTCTCGCAAGATCAACTCCTCCCCTCTTCTCTCTCTCTCTGTCTCTTTCTGAATACTGTCTATCGGTGTGGACGATCAAATTGACCAAAACAAAGTTAAAAAATGATGTTAAAACACAAAAGTAAATTAATTTGGTTGTCTAAAACAAAGATGCTATGGCTATTTAACTTTTCGAATCGAGCCGAACTACACGGGTCGCCATTTTGTTTTGCCCTAAAATTCTCGTGCTACTTCTCTCTCTCTTTCTCTCTCCACTGCCCACAGAAAAAATTGTACGCTTTTAGTAGGCTACAGTTGTAAATGAACGTTTGTTCACGGCACAGAATTCTACAATTTTTCTGTTATCACAGTGTAGAATTCTGTGGTTTAGGGTGAATGCAAAATTTGGTGAACGCGCACCAGGTGAGAATAGCCACAAGACTCGCCTGCACTATTCTCACTCCGGGTGAGAATAGAGGTGGCCTTGTTCAGTGCCTGGTAAAGTTTAAAGTGTGTTGCTGTTATTGTTGCTGTGGTACACTGTTGCTGTGGTACACTGCATGCATATAAACCACATAGCATACAATCACTGCTGAACACTGTGGTACTAAACTAAGGGCACTTCTGCTAGATTCTATAATCTATCTATATTAGATCTAGATCTAGATTTAGATATATCTAGATCTAATATATATCTAGATCTACGCTAATATAGAAGAAGTCGAAGTTCTACTTTCAACTCTCCGCAGATCTACTCACCATTTGTTGACTGTTGCTGTGTGAACCCTGGAATGGATTTATGTCCCAGATTTATTTACTTTTACCTCCTTCCATTGCAATACTTGATTAAACACAAACATTTACGTCAAGTCCTGACGAAACTCATATGGAAAGTACAAGGGGCAATGCCCCATAACAACACGAAGTAATAAATAATACGGCACGTTCCTTATCTCTGTAATCCTTTTCAATCACTAGACGAATGCGCATGAGTCAGTTTTACTGCTTTTGCTTCCGGTTGGAAAATAGATTCTAACTCATTGTTTTCATATTATGTTTAGTAATTGTGCAATATTGAATATAAATTTGCAAGCATGCAACTCAAAGTAGTATTTTATGGGTAAATAAATAAATAATTTTCAATCTAAAAGTCATATTTGCTTGAAATCAATATTTTTCGATAAAACTAGAAATTCTACGAGACTCTCCCAATCTCTAAATCTTTTCGTTTTAGAAATTACAATTGAGAGATATTATAGCTCTTGTGAAGAAGGAGATAGATATCTAGAAACATCAGCTTCAACCACCAGCGACAAAGAGAGATGGCTGAAGCCAGGGTATTGGGGCGCCTCAAGATGGTGCCAGATATTGGCAGACTCGGGAAAGATGTGTACCGACATCTGCGTTGTCGATGTCGTATATCGTGTTGAATTTTGGAACATTCACCATCATAAAAATTGAAAAATTACGAATATATAAGTAATTTGTAGGTACTTGCGTTTCTTTATTTCATTATCCCTCAAAGTAGGGCTACTTTGGGCTTTGGGGGGGGGGGGGGTTCTCATGGCCGTGAGGTTAAGGTGTTTGCCTCTCATTCAAAAAGTCAAAAAGTCAAAAAGTCCGGGGTGACGGAGAATTAAAAAAAAAATTCTTCTCTATTGAGATAATCAGAGCTCAAAGCAATGTTCTGCTTTCGTCTCCACTTTATGCCCCTACCCCCTAATTTCCGTTGCCCCCTCCCTTGGGCCTTGGGCTTTAAACTCTTTCTGCAGCCTTTCTACTGCTACTCCTTGGATTCTTCTTACTCAACAGTGGTCTTTCAGACCCCCTGATCTTCTGGTAGGTAAGATCTACACCTAGCCTTCTTGGACATGGGCCGAAAATCTCGGAGGTCCCGTGTGCAAGTGCAAGTATAGGAACGTTAAAGATCCCTTGGTGGTCTAAAGTCGATAAGAGTAGGCTTCGGCCGCTACCCGATCAAAATTCAAAATTTCCTACCAACTGGAATCGTTGAACGTGTCCCGTGCGTTCATATGACCGTATGCAGTTGCGAGCGCCGTAAAACATCCCCCCTCCAAAACGAACAAACAAACAACAACAAAACCCACCAAAAAACAAAACAAAACAAAACAAAACAACCCAACCTTTAGAATCAGATGTTGAAGGCTGGTGCGGTTTTCGGTCTGTTGTTGATATGTCATCTTTTGAAACACTTCTTTGACGCCATCCAGCCAAGTTTTGCGCGGTCTGTCCCCACTCTTGCGTTCTGACTCTTTTGAGTGGTATATATGCAGAGGTTGATTTTGGGACATCACGACCGAAACACTTGATTCCTTGGTGTTCTATATTCTATATTATTTTTTATTACCTGTATCACTCTTGTTTAATTTTTGCAGTACATTGTATTTCCTTGTGACATTAATTAATTTTCTGAGGCATTTCATTTTACAGACAATCAGTGGCGACGGCTGAGTTGTTTGACAGGGTGATCAGAGCGAGTCAAAGAACCAGAGATAGAGATGAGGTCACTCACGAAAAGCTTCCCCACAATAGGAACATAATTAACACAACTTCTTATTCGAGGCAGCATCACTGGATTGTGAATGAAAACAAGTCCTGAATTCGCTATTGCATGTTCACCGCCAAAATAATCGAGAAAATGTCTCGTTAATTCATAGTTTTATTTTTTCCTACTTTAGGCAAAACGTAAATGTGTGTTGGGAATAGTGGTCTCAAGAGTTTTTACTTGTAAATTTAACTAAAAACGTGAACACGCAAATAGGGAGTTTGAAGAAGGGACGACAATACTGCACATCAAATGCACAGGGTGATCAAAAGAAAAAAAAATTAAAAAATTAAAAAAACCCAAACAACAACAAAACTGTACAACAACTTGTTTAGTAAATACAGTGGAGTCCACTTATAACGAGTCCGGAAAAAAACGAGAAGTCTGTTATAAAGGCACTATTCTAAAACCCCGTTTTTTCTCTCCTCTTTACCTTTGTAAACAAAATACTGCTATAGCGCTATCAGACACACTTGCGAGTTGGTTATAGCGGAATATTGCTGCTGCTGTGCACATGGCATAGGTCAATTATACATAATGCAAGACCTCGCCAGTTGAGAAACTTGTTGCTGATCTTTCGAAACAAAGAATAGGAGAGCCCATGTGCGTCAACAATGAAGGCCGGAGCAACTGAGTAGGGAGGGTGTGGTATGCGCAGACAAGCAGAACGCATTGCGTGATAGGCCAGTTTAGATTATCAAGGCCTGCCATGCCTCTTATTTCTCGGATGCTGAGATGGAGAGGTCACAGCAATGTGATGGATTGAGCGAATGTGTGACGTGCGCAAGCAGACTGAATGCACCGCAGGGTTGGGTGGGGTGGGGGGAAAACACAGCGGGCGAGTTAGCCCAGAGCCCTTTATTTCTGATCGCCAACGCCGAGCTGTCAGTCCACATCGCTAGATCTAGCGCTAGAGAAACAAACCTGATTCGATTTTTGATCAAGTAAAACCTAGAGGTCATGTTGAAACAAAATCATCATCAGGGGAGATAGCAAAAGGAAAAACAGAACACCAAACTCATAGATTAGGCCTACTTTACGGTATCCCTTGCATTTATTACTGGATCCCTTATAGCGAGAATCATGCTATAACGGACATTTTGCTTCGGTCCCCTCCCTCTCGTTATAACAGGATTCCACTGTAATTTCCTCCATACTGAAGTTTTGCGTTTCAGATTTGAACAGAATATTTGGAAGCCAAAAGGAATTTGTCTGATATTCATTTTAGATAGTCCGTTGAATGGTTTTGCTCTATTGTATATGGCGCATTAAAAAAACAACAACCCATTTTCGACCTTGTCCCTATTTTGGTAACATGACGCACTAGTTTGCATTAAGTCTACTGTCTATTACTAAAAGTTTCAGCAATCGCGCCATATTGCAAGCTACAGCAGTCTAACAAGTCAGCAGAAGTCTGCAGATATTATTTATCCCAAATTTCGTTTGCCTGCTGAGATCATGGTTAAGTTTAATAAGAAACAGAAAGGTTTTTGTATTGAACATTACCTCTCCACAAATTCACCATCCCTGACATCTCGTAAGTTCTGTGCACCGTGCACGGTATGGAGAGAATGCTTGGATCTAGATGCTATCAAGACCTTTGGTGTCACGAGTAAAGAAGTTCTATCAGTTAGGATCTATAGCGAATCAGAACTGACAATGTCCTTTAAAATGACCACTTTAGGTCGAACTTGCACCATGCGCAGCCCTTTTAAAGTCACCTGGGTGCAGATTTCAGTAGCCGAGTCCCATGAAACGTCTGTTCGTAGACAATCTGCAGCTAGGACTTTTCTATCTCAACAGTTTGCATTCTCATGGCAGATCTTAAACTATTACAGTACCATTTTCATTTTCACTAGGCCGAAATGACATGGATCAAAGCATGGCAATGTGTTCATGAATCCTCGATTGTCTTGAAAAGCGGGATCATTTGCCTCGATGACATTTGATTTAGTGCTATCTGTTGGGCACCCCACTCCATATTGCCTCTAGAAGCCACTTCATACTCATTGTGTACAGTGTATGTTGCTTTACTTTAAACTCATATGGTTTAGCAGGTCCTTGTGTTTGGGCGACATTGAACATTTCGAACGGCGCGTTAAAAACGTGGTCCAAAGAAGGGAATGTAGAGCACTGCTTCTAGGAATTCCAGAATGAAATCGTTAGATTTTTTAAACTGTGTAAAAGAAATAAAATATTATTTATACGTTACAGGGATAGAAAATTAAATGTCAAAGAGAAAATAATGAAAAAAGTCAACCAATCTTTTCACGACTTCATTTACAAGACTTTTACAAATCGGTGAACTTTGCTATTTTGGATGCTCTTTTCTTTAATCGTATCCGTACGTCGTGTTTTACTATCGTATCCATACGACGTGGGGAACTCTGTGCCACCACTTTCTAAAGAGGAAATTTACTCGTTAATCCGAGTCTGTCAGTCTGTCAAAATGATTTTTTAAGGAAATACTGAAAGTTTCAATGAGATTTTCGTACTAGAAGTATTTTAAAATGTGAAGAATACAACCCCAGTAGTACAAAACGACCCCAAGGCGTACGGATAAGGTTAAGCCATTTCCATTTTTTAAAAAAAGATTCTTCTTTGTGGATTTTATGTCAAACAAATTCCTTTTGGATGAATTATGGCTGTGTGAGAGATATTCAGAAAAATATTGTACATTTTTGGGACCACCCTGTATTAATAAATTTGGATTTGAATTTGGCAGTCTTTTTCTAGCCTTTCGCAGCCAGAAGACGATGCCACATAATTAGATCATGACCTTATAAAAAGTCGAGGGAAAAAAAAACTTAAAAAAACTAGCAGTCACAACAGCCGTGAGATTATTAGGAGTTAGTCTCCATTTACCTTACGGGGGTAGACGCTTCCAGTTTAATTGTAAGCTAACACTAACATAATTACTAATTAATTAGTGCCTCTGAATGCTCGTGAAAGTGGCCTGATTGGAATGAACAGAGTGTTAATTACGTACCGGTAGCAATGAAGCTGTTCCGAGTGTTGTGCACATTGATGACTTTGTGAAAGTATAATGCTGTATTTAGATTTATAAGGTCCATGAGCGCTCGCAGTTTGGTAGACATTTATTTTGAAGTTTGCTCGGATGGTGGCAGAAACCTACTCCTTACCGATTTTAGACTTGGGACATCCGATATTTTTCGCCCTTTTCCGAGAAGGCTAGTCGTTAGAGCTTACCTAATCTAAGATCAGGAGTGTGGCTGAAAGACAACAGTAAGAAGGAACCAAGGAGTAGCAGAAGAAAGGTTGCAGAAAGAGTCAGGTGCTCCGAAGAAGGGGCAAAGGAGGTGAGGAGGGGGGAGGTAGGGGGCAGAAAGTGGAGACAGAAGAAGGCGACAGAACACGGTTAGAGTTAGAGAGCAAGAAAAGAAGTGAAAGGAGAACATTTTGAAGAAGAAA